CTGATGTTGATTACAGGTGTCAGACTTAATAAAAATTTCCTATCACAAACATGCAATAACCATGCTTTCACATGCCCCATAACCATGGAATTTTTCCACGGGTTAAGCTGCACACATGTTGGAAGGCTTTGGACAAAACTTCTCTTATCTTCCTTTCAGGCCAGGCTTGGCTGTTTATCAAATGGGCATTGATCATTGATGAGAGTTGGTACTTGTGTGATGCTTTGCTTTATATCACCAGCATTCCACAGCCATCTCTGGTCTGAAAAGATGTCCTTGACAATTGATGCAATCTTGGTAAACTCCAGGACCTGTCCCCCCCTTCCTGGTATTCGATTGCATCATCATATCATTGGGGGACACTAGTCCGATTAGCCTTTGTCATGAGGAAATATGTGAGAATGACTGTAAAGTGTTCAAGTGAATAAGTCTGATATTGATTACAGGTGTCAGACTTAATAAAAATTTCCTATCACAAACATGCAATAACCATGCTTTCACATGCCCCATAACCATGGAATTTTTCCACGGGTTAAGCTGCACACATGTTGGAAGGCTTTGGACAAAACTTCTCTTATCTTCCTTTCAGGCCAGGCTTGGCTGTTTATCAAATGGGCATTGATCATTGATGAGAGTTGGTACTTGTGTGATGCTTTGCTTTATATCTCCAGCATTCCACAGCCATCTCTGGTTTGGGAAGATGTCCTTGACAATTGATGCAATCTTGGTAAACTCCAGGACCTGTCCCCCCCTTCCTGGTATTCGATTGCATCATCATATCATTGGGGGACACTAGTCCGATTAGCCTTTGTCATGAGGAAATATGTGAGAATGACTGTAAAGTGTTCAAGGTGGTGTGCGCGCTTCAACATCTGCCAATTTCCAATAATCAAACTTCATATATTGAAATGTCCCTTTTTCAACAGTGTGCTGCCCTGACATTCTTGTAATCATTCATTATTATTTAATATTAATGTTATTATTAATATTGATTAAAAAAAGCAAAATACACAATCTTGATAAGAATCTTATAATAACCCAATAACCAAAAAGACAATGTAAATTTAAAAAAAAAGTACCTCTGTCATTAACACGTCTTCTTTAGAGACTCACGTTTTGCCATCTTTGAAAAATAAATTTTTTCCAAAAAAAAAACAATTCACGTCAAAAAATATCTATTTGGAATCTGTGTCAATTTGAAATTCACGCGCGTGAAATTCAAATTAGCCAATCAGAATTTTGTATCCAAACACCCACCCCAAAATTTTAAAAAGAGAATTTTAATTTTAGCCAAATGCTCATTTGAGTTATAGATTCTGAATCTGATTGATACCCTATTACCCAATTTGGCATCATTTGACCAGTAAAAAAAGAACCAATAGATTATATATAAGCAAGAAAGATGGAGCCCTAAATTAGCACAAAAGAATTTTAAATTATTGTATATTTTAAATATAATTAATTATATATATATCTTTAATAAAACAAACATGATTTAGCTATTTAATCTATTTAATCATTTCCTTGTATGTGAATGCCTCCATACATCAAATATTCATGATGATCATGATTATTATTCAGTATGTTTGATATCATCATTGACATAACAAACAATTGCATCACCCAAGTAGTAATAATGCCAAGGCCATGCATAAATGAAACAAATGGGGAGGATCAAAAAAAATATTTTCCTTCCCATTGTATAGTTCTTTATAGTGTTTCAAAAAAGGAAACAAAATGGTTGTAAAGGCAGTTGCAATCATTTTTATATGACGCAAAGGTAGCAACCATTATCAAAAGTTGCAGCTGGTATACTTAGTTCTTTAAAATGAATAATAAGTCTGATGTTGATTACAGGTGTCAGACTTAATAAAAATTTCCTATCACAAACATGCAATAACCATGCTTTCACATGCCCCATAACCATGGAATTTTTCCACGGGTTAAGCTGCACACATGTTGGAAGGCTTTGGACAAAACTTCTCTTATCTTCCTTTCAGGCCAGGCTTGGCTGTTTATCAAATGGGCATTGATCATTGATGAGAGTTGGTACTTGTGTGATGCTTTGCTTTATATCTCCAGCATTCCACAGCCATCTCTGGTTTGGGAAGATGTCCTTGACAATTGATGCAATCTTGGTAAACTCCAGGACCTGTCCCCCCCTTCCTGGTATTCGATTGCATCATCATATCATTGGGGGACACTAGTCCGATTAGCCTTTGTCATGAGGAATATGTGAGAATGACTGTAAAGTGTTCAAGTGAATAAGTCTGATATTGATTACAGGTGTCAGACTTAATAAAAATTTCCTATCACAAACATGCAATAACCATGCTTTCACATGCCCCATAACCATGGAATTTTTCCACGGGTTAAGCTGCACACATGTTGGAAGGCTTTGGACAAAACTTCTCTTATCTTCCTTTCAGGCCAGGCTTGGCTGTTTATCAAATGGGCATTGATCATTGATGAGAGTTGGTACTTGTGTGATGCTTTGCTTTATATCTCCAGCATTCCACAGCCATCTCTGGTTTGGGAAGATGTCCTTGACAATTGATGCAATCTTGGTAAACTCCAGGACCTGTCCCCCCCTTCCTGGTATTCGATTGCATCATCATATCATTGGGGGACACTAGTCCGATTAGCCTTTGTCATGAGGAAATATGTGAGAATGACTGTAAAGTGTTCAAGGTGGTGTGCGCGCTTCAACATCTGCCAATTTCCAATAATCAAACTTCATATATTGAAATGTCCCTTTTTCAACAGTGTGCTGCCCTGACATTCTTGCAATTATTCATTATTATTTAATATTAATGTTATTATTAATATTGATTACAAAAAGCAAAATACACAATCTTGATAAGAATCTTATAATAACCCAATAACCAAAAAAGACAATGTAAATTTAAAAAAAAAGTACCTCTGTCATTAACACGTCTTCTTTAGAGACTCACGTTTTGCCATCTTTGAAAAATAAATTTTTTTCCAAAAAAAAAAGTTCGCGTCAAAAAATATCTGTACAACACCTAGAGAAGTGACATGCGCATGGAAAAAAATGTAACGCGCATTGTGAATTTGGAATCTGTGTCAATTTGAAATTCACGCGCGTGAATTTCAAATTAGCCAATCAGAATTTTGTATCCAAACTCAAAATTTTAATTAATATTAATATTGACGCACAATACACACGATTTCTTTTTCAAATCATGCAATGTCCATACACAATTCTATTCAAAAAAGAGAATTTTAATTTTTTACCAAATTATTATTAATTATATTATTGATAGTATTTTTAAGAAATAACAAAATCAAAATTTTGGCCTCATTTGTTAAACTGAGTAGAATTGATAATTTCATCAGCTTTGCTTCTAAAAGGAATTGGTTTACTTTTTCTTTATAAATGATAATAAATTATTGACACCTGAATGTGTTTTAAATTAGTGTATATTTATTCTAATTACAAATTAAATGTCCAAAAAATACCAACAATGATGATATGGATATTACAATTGATGGTGATGGAAATGTGGGAAGCGAAAATGATAAAAGTGATGATGATGATGAAATAATTGGAATAGAAATAGTAAAGAAGAAGACAGTGATAGTGATAATAATATTGAAAATTGTATTTAGATATTTATTTTTTTACATTTTTTTTAAAAAAAATGTAATGCATGATGCGCACCAAGTGCCAGAAACAAAAAATTTATTATTCGAAAAGTAGTGCCAAAGTGGTATTCGTAATTTGATTGTTATAATAATGTAAATAAAGATTTATTAGATAGTTAGATCATATAAGCATGTAACAATAATACACCAATTATAAAAAAATGAGATGATGATAATTAATCTATTTTTTTAAAGCACCTTTGAATTTAATATGGAAAATATATGGTTCCCGAAAATTTTGCAGGGGGCAAGGCTCTCAAAGAATTAGCTCCCCGCATCATTGGGGGGAGAACGTTATGTATAGCACTTTTTTTTTAGATAATTCTAATTATTATCTTATAGTTGACTTGACATTCACCAATTGAATGATTATTATTTATTGAAGAGAATAAGATTATATAACCATTGTCGTTGCAGTAATTGGATTCGTTTGTAGTACTTAGTTGTCGGCGGATGGGGACTTGGCGAGGTTGCCGTTGCGGAGGTGAAGGTGGAAGTTGTTGTTGTTGTTGTTGTTGAAACAAAACGGTATTATTACTCTCCTTCTTCCTATTTGGACCATTATATGGATTAAATTATTACCCAGCTAGCTAACTAAACTATCCTTTTATTTTTGACTTTAATTAACCTGTAGCAAATTTACAGGCTTATTTACAATAGAGATTTACTACTAGAATTAATAGAATGATGACAAGAATTTTTTATCGTAGCTTTAATAGATTCGCACATTAGGTCCTCGTGCATGTTTCAGTTTCCTCGGAAGGTTGGTGGATATTAGTTTGATTGGTATTTTAGTGTAATAATAATTAAAAAGTGTTCTAGAATGATGAATGATGAATTATCATTTGTTTTTCTGGAATGAAATATGTTGTAATCAATTTTAACTTTAACAAATTATTCAGCTTTATTGGATCTTTATAATTACAAGTAAATTGATAATAATAATAATATGAAGAAATAATTTTGATAATGAAAAATCACTAAAAAAAGGAACGTTCTCAGAATTATAGAAACCTATCAGTCATCAACTATATAAACTACAAACTTTACAGTTCTTTTCAATAAAACCGGAGAAACCAGTAGGACATGGGGCAAAGAAGACGGGTAATTAAACAAAATTTGGATCCAAAAAAAAGAAAGCTCTAAAAAAATATTGATAGGTGTGATCATCCAACGATCAAAAGAGTTCAAAATGGTATCGACCAAATGTTCATTTTTTACTAAGAGAAAATAACGAAACAACAATACAAAAATTTATGCCCATTCATGGAAAATTAGCAACAAAAATAATAATAGCTATATTCAACGTGTTTTTGAAAAAAATCTATAGATTATTTATTATTCAACTTTAGGTGACATAATAAAGAGCTTAATATTTGAGCTTTAGCACTTGGATGTTTAAGCAAAGTTGGCAATTTATAAACTAGAAATTCAAAGCATGAAAATTTTTTTTATGGTTGCCTTAAAGATCTTAAACAATATATAATAAATGTAAGGATGTACTCTTTTATATTTAAACACTATTCAATTCCGATATTCCTATTAAATTCAAGGTTAAAATTGATTATAAATCAGAAAAGTTCAACTACAGCATATAAAAAAATTATCTTTATATATTAATGTAAGATTTTGTTTCTATCATCCATTCCTCATCCAACAATATTTAAATAGTATGTATGATTTAATAATGATATTAAACAATGAAGAAGTTCAAATATTTCAACTTCTTGTTCTTCTAAAAGTGAAATTCATTGGAATAATATATACACATATTTTATATTATAAAATTATTTTAGGTAATAAAGATGAAAAATATAATGATGATGGTAACGATTATATTAAAAGCGATCTCAACATGTTGAAGAAAATTTTAATTTTGGAGAGTCTGAAGAAATGAATAAACAGCCTATTATATAGTATGATAATGATAATGGTTATTAATCTTCTAATTTCTAAATCATTTATTTTATTAATTTGTTAAAAGAAATTTATAATGATGAAAAAAAATCAACAATAATTTTAACGTTATACTTGTTCATATAAAAAATTGATTTCTTATTCTTTGGGTAAGTTTTGTCTTTTGGGAGAAGGTGTTGGAATCATATAAAAAATCAAATTCTCAAAATATATAATTCAGAAAAATATTAAAGTCCACTCTCACTGAAATGGATCTTGCGGCTGAGAATTTAAGCCCAATTTATATGTCCCATATATAAATCATTATTGTCTATAACGTATTCTCTCTACAATGGGCATTTTTTCATAAGCCAAATGGCCCATTATAAAGAAAGTGAACTGTATAGAATTGTAGAATTGTCAAACGAACTTATATTTTAATAGATTTATTATGGAAAAATTGAAATTTGGGCAATTGCAAAAATGTAATATAAATAATAATGATTAATAATGCTAATGTATAATAATAATAGGAAGTTCACATAAAATTAAAAAAAGATTTGATGGATTTTGAAGAAGCAACATATATATTCAAAAAAGAAAAACAAAGGTTCTAGTAAATGAATATGATGAATATAGAGAATCTAAAGATGTCAATAAAAAGAAAAAAAAGCAGTAGTAAAAGATGAATCTAGAGAGTCTAGAAAAAAACAAAAAAGTGAATCTAGAGAAGATTGTAAATGAAAAAATGAAAAAAGTAGCAATGAATGATATTAGTAGACATATTTAAAAATAATGAAATAATTTATGAATGTGAATATATGAATTTAAAGACGATGAAATATTTAATGGATATAATATTAAAAATGGCAAAACAATTAATGAAAAAAAGATTAAAGATGACGAAATATTTGATGATGAAATATTTAATGATAAATCAATTAATTAATGAAAAGAAAGATTTACCATTTAATTAAACAGGTAATAAATGAACCTTTTGAAAAATTTTAAGCTTGAAATGTAGAAACTAATATCTATCATCAAAATCATCAATCTTGTGATTTCTAAAAAAATTATTATTTTATGTTAAGGAGATTGGAGATGATAAAAATAAATGTATTGCGGAACAAATATTGATAATATAACGGGTTTGATGATGGATTAAATTTAGATGATTAATGGATTTTCAAGAAGGAACATTAAATCAAGGAATAAACAAACATTAAAAAACAAAGTCAACCCATTTTTACCTCCTAACATATATTTATAATATTAATGTTTAATTGTTTGTGCAAATCGTCCATCCATATTTTCTAATTATTTATTATCGAAAATTTTTTTGCCATTATATAGGAAGACTAGGGGTTTTTAATGTAGGAAAAGTCATATTCAATAAGATGTCCAATGGTGAGCTCTCTACTGGTGTATGTGGAATATCAGGATTCCTTTGGTTTATTATATTGTCGATTTTTGTTATTTTTTCAATATTTGTTATGATGATCTGGTTCAATTTTATTAATGCTTCTACCAGAGAGATCACTCCGTTAATGTCTCCTTTGCTAACCGGCAATCTGATAGAAAGAATTTTGATCATACTGAAGAAAGGTTTATAGGCTCTATTTGTGCTATAAACAACAAGTTTTTTTCCTAAATTATTAAAAAATTTAATTATTTTAATTATTATTATATAAAAAATTTAATTATTTGTTGTTATTATATAAAAAATAATATAAAAATAAATATACTTACTATACACATGGATAGTGATTATTTCCAATTCATTTAGTATTTTTATACAATCTTCATCCCCGTATTCTTTTATAAAATTTAAAATACTGTTCCAGCCCTCTTTTGCCATTTTGGCAAGTCGAGATCTATCTTCTTTAATATGTTGTGACAGATAAGCACCATCTGCATGGGGTCCATATGACACTTCTGTAAATAAAAATTCATAACTATATTGCTTTTCTTTATTATAAAAAAGCCACATATAATCTGGAAATCTCAAAGGACCACCAGATTGGTTGTTACGATCTTTCGTCGATTCGGATGCAGAACCGTCACTAAAAAAAAATATTTTATATTTGTTATTTTAGGCGATTCATTCATTTTCATATTTTTTTTATTACATACCTTAATTTGACAACATTTTTACCACTATTAATTGATAAAAACCTTATTGTTGAAGAAATCATATCGTTTCTCCAGGTTTTTTCGCTAACCTTCATTTTTTCTTGATAGTTAATTGAATTCCAAATATTATGTCTAAAGACATAGTTAATATACATGTTAATTGAAAGTCTATCATTCATTTGTTAGATTTACAGTAAATGGTAACATACATAGAAAGAAGGAATGATATAAGTTCATAATAATATTTTAAATTTTTTGCCATTGGTATTTGTGTGTCTATATTATTCATTAATGCAATAACGAAATTTTCTTGTACGGAATCTAATTTTTCTATTTCAAGTTTAGGAGGTTTAAGTAATTTAGAAAGTTTTTTTGTTTTCAAAATTTCATATAATCCCTTATTGTTGTTCATGAGGTCTTTGTAGAAAAGAATTCCACTTGCTATATAGTGGTCTTCACTTAATTCTACGTTCAACATTGCATCGCTTATCTCATAAACTAGTTCATGGACATGTTCGTCGTACTCCTTAAGCTTATTTAAAATAGGTTAATTTTCTTTAAAAATAAAAAGACAATAAATTATATAAATTATATTCATATTTACTCCCAAAATTCTTTTTCTTGCTATTGCAAGATCTAATTCATTACTCGATGTAATTGTACGTGAAGTAGATGATCCCTGTGTTTTTATTCATTATGAGATTGCTAAGAATAAATTAATGAACATTATTCAATTAAAATAGTGCGATTTACTTCATTTACCTGCAGCACATAATCGTCATCATCTTCACTACTGCTGCCATAAAAGATTGATTTTCTTGGTCTAAGATGGTAACTCTCCCTATGTTCTTCTACATTCGATTCTAATTCTCCTTCTTCTTGATCTCTAGAATTGTTGAATTTTAACTTTATTATTATAATTAGAATGACGACGAGTGGCAATAACCACCACCACCATTCTTATGATAAACACTTACCCAACAACAATTTCTTTTTCGTCTTTTTCTTTTGTTCTTTTTTCTCTAGACATTTTTATTTTTTTAAAAAAAAAAGAAATTTTAATAATACTATTGCAATTTTTTGATCTATATGTCTTTGTAGTAATTTATTAGACTACTCAATCAACACACCATTTATCCACGAAATAGTCTATTTTATGAAAATTGCATCATTGCGCAAAAGGATATTTCACATCCAACAATTATTTTCTCTGTGTAGAGGTTGCACCCAATGAATAATATTTAGTGAATATTCAGTGAGTATTTGGTTAATCGGATATTTGATTTCTTCATTGATTGATTGATGGAATATAATAAATTAAAAATTCACTGAATAACTGAGTTGAAATGAAATTTTCTTATTTAATTCATTTAATTCATCTAATTAATTAAATTTAAAATGGAGAAGAGCCTTCAGTCACTATAATAAGAGAAAGTAATAATACATAATGAGAAGGGAGGAATTTTTTGCTGCTCATATTTTGAAGAAAAGAAAGGTAAAGGTGGTTCTAAGAAGTCAAGTCGGATATGGAATTTGATGGAAAAAACTGAAATTGTAAAAAATCTAAAGGAGCTATTTGCCAAGTTAATGTCTCTGAATTTTTTGATATTATTGTTCCTTGTAATGTTGTAGTATGTGGTGATGAATCTACATCTAATTATATTACATTTATATGATGACCTCAAGAAGAACAAAATTTGATCCATTTTTATTTGAAAAGATTGTTGATAAGTTTGATAGAATGTAGATGATTAAATAAATTTAAAATTTTTTGTTAACAATGAATATTCACTGAATATTCAGTGAATAATCAATGAATAATCATTGTTAAAAAATTTGAATATAAAAAAAAAATCTCCATCTATGCAATAATCCTACAGCCAAATTTAAAAATGATCATCTAGAACTAGTCTAAATTTAGCAGCGATCCTAGCGGCAAAATTCCTAATATATTAATATAGTAATAGTAAAATACAACAATTATTTTTTTGAGAAAATCTCATTATTACATTAAAACTAAAGACCCATTCTATCAACTAATAAGGATATTTTTAAAAGGTAGAAAGAAAATGATTTCTATACTTTTAAATTTGTACAAATTTAGGAGGTTTTTGATTGAATGTATATTTCGCCAATCATATGTAGGAAAACTATGAGTGATCAGAGATAAATTTCCTTTCCAAAGGTTATAATACACAGCGAGTCTCGATTTATCGGATAATTTGAGAGAGCTTATATAAATCGAGACTTTTATTAGGCATCCGCTAGCTGTGTATTTATTCTAGCTAGCATAAGACAGAAACTTATTGTTTAAAGGTTTTTTTGTAATAAAACCCCATATTCTATATTTTTAGTACACAAAAAATAAACAAATAATATTTTTATTATGCCAAATAAAAAAAAATCTTGAAAAAAAATTTTTTCTCGTGAACTTGGATGTGTCAATTGAACAGGTTTTTGTCGATTATACATAATTTCATTTTCACGCACAACATCACCATTACTATTATTATGTTGATTATCTCTGCGAGATTTTTTAATAAACAAATATTTAAACACGCAAGTTACTGACTGCACTTGGTTGATCATATATCTATATGTCAAATTTTTTCAAAAAAATGAATAATTGTCGCTCTTTATTATTTTTATTTTTTAATAAAAAACCATATTGTAATAGTATTAATAGAAATAGTAGGAGCAATATTCAATTAAAACATATATTTTTAAATTATAATCAAAAAAGATTTGCAGGGCATAATAAATGGAGTAAAGTTAAGCATATAAAAGTTGCAAAAGATGGAGAACGTAGTATGTTATTTGCTAGAATATCAAAAGAGATTCAACTTTCAGTAAAAGGTAATTAACTGATCATATCATAATTGTTAATAATTATGTTGTTGCTAATAATAACAACAACAATATTGTAATTATTAATAAAAAAAAAGAGGGAGGTACTTCAGATCCGAGTCTTAATGTAAGATTAGCAGCAGCTCTTGCACAAGCAAAGAAAGTCGGTTTACCCAAAGATACAATGGAAAATGCAATTAAAAGGGTCTATAATTTATGTTCATATCTATAACTTATTACTTAGGTTTTCCACGTAATTGTTTTTTGACATATTACTATTATCAATAAATTATACAAAGGGATTAGGACAAGGAAAAGATCAAAATAATATTGAAAGTTTAAAATATGAAGCATACGGACCTGGAGGAGTAGCATATATAATGTAATAATAATCATTGACAATTTAAAAAAAACAATTTTTTTAAATCAATGATTATAATTAAAAATATATATATTTAATAAAAATTATAGAGAGGCATTGACGGATAATAAGAATAGAACATCTAAAGAGATTAAAAGTCATTTCAATAAAGCTGGGTACGAGGTGAAATTTTATTTAATAAATAAAGATGAATTATCATTATTCAAAAAAAAATTTTTTCTCTATTTTAATATAGAGGATCAATGTCAAGTGTTTCATGGATGTTTGATAAAAAAGGTTAATGAATGATAGTATAAGACTATTAATAATAAACTGATAATAATAATTGCACAATAATAGTAATAACAATTAATATTATTATATTTTTATTGAAGGGTCAATTCAATTTCATTCAGGCAACAATAAAGAAAAAGACACAATTGATAAAATGATGGATAATGTTATAGAGATTGAAGGAATTGAAGATATAAAAGAAGTGAATGAAGATACATTAGAGGTAAAATAAATAAATGTATAATAAAAATAATTAATACATAGAATTAATACATATATCTGATTTTTAAAAGATAACATGTGAACCTTTGAATGTCAACAAAATTACTAAAGAAATAAAAGAGAAATATGATTATGAAGTAATAAGTATTAGGAATAGTGGATATATTCCAAAGACAAAAGTTAGTGTTAATGAAGAATTGATGGAAGTAATTAATAAATTGGAGGATGGACTGAATGAAGTTGAAGATGTAGTAAGAATTTACAATAATTTTGAATAAAAAAAAATCGAATAAATAAAGTGAATGTATATTAAATTCAAAGAAAAAAGTTTTCCACAACAATACAATGATTTTCAGGATGATAGAAACTATATTTTTACATAAAGGGTAATACCTCCTCATTTGAGGAGTTGACATAATAATAAGGATTAACCTTGCAATAGGAACCTTTGGTACACAACTCACCACCCCATGTAATACTTAAAAATCTGAACCCACTTTCCCCTTCCTAAACTCCCGCTCATCCTTTCCTAAATTTCCTTAATTATATTTCAAGACTGATGATCCTTGAATGTTAATGGAAATTGTCTTTTTTAATCACCCAAACACTGTCATTGAAAAAATATTTCTAGCAATCACCTAAAGGCATCAAATTTTTTGGGCCATCTTTAAAAGGTTTTAGAGGTTCCACCAAACAAGATGATGAAAAATTTTACTTAATAAAAATTATAAATAAATTTTTTTGCAATAATAAATCAAATAAAATAATTATTAAAATCAATATTATATCTTAAAATACTATTTAAAAACATGTCTTTAATTAATTTAATACCAGAATACAATTTAATGAACAAAATGATTTAGTAATTAGCATAATCAATGATTTTTCCAAAGTTCAAGATGTAAATTGTCATAAAACAACAAAATTGCTTGAAAAAAATAGGCTTTAAAAGATTAAAAGTTTAGATAAAATGAAAAAGATCTTTCTATCAAAACACAATGAAAATTCAATTATTAATTACAAATATAAATATAATGAAACAATACCCATTTGCCAACCTGTATCTTTAAAACTATGTGATATTAAAATAGATGAACTAAGAGACATTTAAAAACAAATGGTTTAGATGATTGTCAACATGGTAATATAAAAAATATTCTTAAACTTAAGTCATGAGCATTTGTTGATTTTGAAGTAGTAGAAAGTGTGAAAAATTTTATACCAAACTATGTTGATTTACATGGATTGCCCAAATGAGACTTTGTGATAATTCAGACCCATATTTATCCAGGAACTCAAAATAGTTATAGTTCATAAGTGTGACAAATGCTTCGTGTTGACACATCTATACTAAATATAAAATATAAAACTTTTCACAAACTCTGGACTCAATTAAAACCACACATTAAGTTAAAAATCATTTTAAATGATAAGGATGAAAAAATTGACATGCAATTCAAATTTGATAAACATTTTACAGCTACAGATTATGAAAAACTGCATTATAATAATATTAAAGAAAAGTGTAAAAATGGTTCAACATTAACTCACAACTGTTATAATTTGGCTCAAAGTGTTGCATCTTGACCAAGTTGATTTAAAATAAATATCTTTGGTATATGTACTCAGCTAGATTATACAACAAGAGAAGATTAATTACCAGAGGGAATATCAAAAGGAGTTAATACAACTTTGAATATGACTTTGATTTTCTTCAAAAAATTCATCATGATGGATGAAAAAGATCTATATGTGACATGTGATAATTGTTCAGGACTATATATAGATGTTAGCCGAAATTTCCTCTCTTAATAAATGATCATCGCCGAATCCGAAATGCCAAAATAGTTTCTGAAATTAACTTTATTAGTTGCCAAAATTATATCCAAAATTATTTGGACTCATTAACATAATAGCCGAAATGCTAGGTTGTCTTTTTATGGTCTTTAATATGAAAAATATTGTGAATCTGAAATTGCTTGCCGAAATTGATTTTTTCAAAAACAATTTCGGCTAACATCCTTAGTAATAGATTCCGTATGTTTCACACTGTTTTATATTGTATGTGCCTTTTAAACGGGTTTTTTATAGGGTTGAGAAATAGAATCAGCAGCCATTCCGATTTGAGACAAAGTAGATGTTGAAGCCTCATAACCCCCCAAAATTATTAGCTGTTATTTATGTCCATATGCGCTGATTTTGTTTGAACCCCAAAATCCAATACGGTATGATCATAACGTTATACTACTGTACTAGCAAAAATCCATTTGGTTTTGAGGTGGGCCATTAGTTTGACGGGCTATCGGATAGTAAAATGGTTTTTTTAGTGGAGCAAATAAATTATTTGGGGTTAATTATCATTCTATCGATCAGTTTACACATCATGTTTAATGTGTTTAACGTCGAGACACAATAAGATATAAGGTTTGAAAAAAAACAAATCGGCTGATATGCTATGAACCTCAGGGCTAAGGTTGCTTGCTGAAACCTCTTAGTGACTGTCAAACTCTAATGAACAATTAGTATGCATACCTTGTCAAAACTCTGACGATTGACAAAACCCCCAAATGTGAAACTCTGTTGAAACTCTAATAAACAATTAATATATAACTTGTCAAAACTCTGTTGATTGATTTATGGGAAAGTTTCACCCACAACCTTACTCAGAGCTGAAATCAATAATTAAAATCTTCCATATAACGATTTGCCAGAAAATCTTTTTTTAAAAAAATACAAAAGTTTCTCTGTTTATACAAAACCTTAAAGAAGATTTTAATATGTGAAAATTTTTTTTTCAGAAAATTTTCAGAATGTATATTAATCAAAAATATAAAAATATTTAGAAATGGTTAGTAATGTTTTTAGTTTGTAAGAGGTCTGTGGAAAATCAGTACAAATTTCCTGTGCGCAATAAATAATGTTGTAGTTTTCTTAACTTCATAATATCTTAATAAAATATAGACATAAAAATATTTTTTAACTAAAACTCTTGTCAATGGAGGACTAATTTGCTTGCTAAACTCATCCAACTAATTAATTAATTACTATCTTGTCAGGAGGACGCCTTTGATAAGTATAGTTGTATATATTTCTTTTAATTTTATTTTCTTTATTTTTATTTAGCTTAGGCCAATGCCTAAGAGGAGCAAACCCTAGCTAGGTGCGGTCAGTTCAGACACTGAACCTAAAAAACACAACAGACATGCCCAACCAACTGGGACCTAAACATAAAAAGAGGAAAGCCTAAAGAACCAAGGTGAATATTTAGGAAGGTAAATATCTTGGAAACATACTAGCTCAGGCAGATAACAAAGAACTGCTGAGAAAATGTTACTGGACAGAGAAGTAAAAATTGCCCACATAGATTAATAGACCAAGCACTATTATATAATACACATCAGAAAAGCAATTGCAATTGAGAATTAAAACCATCAAGGAGCACTTGGCCACAGCTGTATAAACTAAATAAATCTAGATATTTGTGTGAGATGTGGATTCCAATCTCACAGTATGCAAATTTATCTGTAATTCTGTAATTCTATGTAAATGTATATGTAATTCTGTAATTCTGCAAATGTCTGAAAAATACTATAAATTTCTCTAATTTTGTAATATGTGTAATTTTGTGTAATTCAAAAAATTTCAGTATTACATATATATTGGTTTAATATCCTCTTCACATTTATTGCATTCATTTGTTAAATGAGAATGTAAGACTTGAGATTTTTGCAAATGGAACATTTTTATGATGATGTATACATTCACCTTCATATATGCCATGTCCATTTTCTTCACCTTGAATAAATTGTCTCCATACACCTGTAAACTGTCTACCACAATTAGAAGAACTATTGGTTTCTGAAGTTTCTAAAAATTTTAAAATTTAAAATTTTGTGATACAGTGTCATGTTTATTATGCAATGATTGCATCATTTGCAGAATTACAGATACATTTACATATTACCAGAGAATTACAGATTCTGACACTTGGTTTGCAAATAGTATGACAACTTGGTTGCTAGATACAACTTCTTTAAATCTGACTTACAGACAGCAGCACCTTTGTAATTAAAATAGAAGATTTTGCAATACAAATAAAACACTTTTAAAGGTTTTCTAAAGGCGGTATGTAAATCATATGATCATTCATGCAAAAAAATAACATCCACCTTGTTTTTTTTTATAATCTCATACTTTCACAAAATGTTATGCTTTGATAAAATGATGTTCATTTAATATGTTTGAGCATTAATAGTTCAGTGCTCTCTGCTCACAATAATCCTGATCATAATCACAATAATGAATATCTCTTATATAATGCATTTATTTTGTATCATTTTTTTGAAATTTTTTTATTTAAATAAATTCTAATTAATTCTGTTGTGATAATTTAGTTCTGTTGCTTTTAAATGGTATATGAAAATTTTTCTTGCCTCTTTGTCTTGGTTGATCTCTTTGGTTACCAGTTGTTTGCTTTTGTTCCAATAATTTTTCATTAGCTTCAACAAATGTTACTACTTTTTCAGCAAGCATTAAAGCCAATTGTTGAACTTTTGTAGGTTCCACTCTGTGTAACACTATGGCATTTTCTACTTGATCCAATGATGCAGCTAATTCCTCATTCCAAATCATTTTAGAAACAATTGAAGTGACATTGTTTACAGGTAAAGAAAACATATTGCTCAATTGTTCAAGTCCCAAGTTTGCATAGTAAGTGGAGTAGGTGAAAAGATAAGTGCGAAGACCTTCTTCTTGAATTTTATGATTCAACATCTCTATTATCTTTTTTTTCTCAGGCATCAAATCCCATATTTTTATAGCACCAATGAGTTCTTGAGATCTTTGCCATTCACCAACAGCAAGTGCTTTAGCTGCACCCATTATATGATCCCTTGTATTTTCAGCTGGCCCTGTTATTATCATAATTTTTATAACCATAATAATTATTATTAGAACAAAAATATTCATATTTATAAAAAGGTTTTATGTAAATATAACCAACCACTAAACACTTGTTTTTCACTATACTCTAACAATTTTCTGAAAGGTTTACTAATTATTTTTTTTCGAGCTTCAGGATTGGAATCAGCAGCAGCCATACTTGGAATTTCCAATAACATAGAACAAGTCAAATAAACACATTCTAACAATTCAAAATTGATATGCATATGAAATGGTAATTGACGTTGTTTATCTAATTTTTCTTGTTCTGGTGGAAGTGCATATTTTTGTAATTGTAAACCTTGAGCCAACAATTCTTTTACTCGACCACTTCCACAAATTTCCATTAAACAACTTTGTGCTTCCTTAATCATTCCCTCACGAAAAGCACTCAGCTAGATTATACAACAAGAGAAGATTAATTACCAGAGGGAATATCAAAAGGAGTTAATACAACTTTGAATATGACTTTGATTTTCTTCAAAAAATTCATCATGATGGATGAAAAAGATCTATATGTGACATGTGATAATTGTTCAGGACTATATATAGATGTTAGCCGAAATTTCCTCTCTTAATAAATGATCATCGCCGAATCCGAAATGCCAAAATAGTTTCTGAAATTAACTTTATTAGTTGCCAAAATTATATCCAAAATTATTTGGACTCATTAACATAATAGCCGAAATGCTAGGTTGTCTTTTTATGGTCTTTAATATGAAAAATATTGTGAATCTGAAATTGCTTGCCGAAATTGATTTTTTCAAAAACAATTTCGGCTAACATCCTTATTCAGGACAAATAAAAATAATTTATTACTCTGGTTTTGGTCATATTAATAAAGTTGGGTTAGTATGAAAATATCTATATAAATTTTATGATTCCTGGGCATACTAAATTTATTTTTGGATCAACCAAAAAAGTACATATATGGGGTATGCTGCAACAAAACCAAACAAAGTGAACATTGGTATTACCAAATATTTAAGGGTCAAAATTTAGTAACATGATTATTAAAATCTTCCTCTTAATATTAGGTGATATATAGAATTACCTCTATATAAAATAGTTAATATGAAGTTAATTTACATCAGATCTACTATGGAACCCAAGAATTATAGCACTATCGGAAGTATTTTGAAGAAAGGGTGAGGTGAAAAAATTGCTCCTTACATTTTCAAAATAAATGATATTCAGACACTGGAAGCTTATCTAAAAAAAAAAAGGATTACCTATGAAATTTATCAAGAAGAAAGAAAAATAATAAATGTTAGAAAAAGAAAGCAGAGTGAAAGTGTATTATTACCCAACAAAAAGCAAAAATCTTTAAAGGAAAATAGCTACCATTTGATAGTTGGAATGAATTTCAATTTGACAGAGGGAAATTTCCTCAATTACTTTTTTATTTTCAATCATCTTTTAGTCTCTTCGACTTAAATTTGAGCAGTTAATTGACCATTCTGTTGATCTTTTGATTTACTGTTTTCTTCTAAACTCTTTATCTTATCCAACAACTCTTGCTTTTGCCTTTTACTTTATTCCTTGGATTTCTCTTGAAATTTGGCTATTTCTTCCCTTTCAATTTCTAAGGCTTCTTCAGTATCATTTAGTTGTTCTTGTAGGGAGTTTATTTGTCTTTCATAAAAAGTAGACTGACTTATTTCTTCATGAGGTAAGAGAGGAAGTTCCTTCTCTTCTAAATCTTCATTGTTTCTAATACAGTAGCAAACATTCTTACCATTAACAATATCAAAATCTAACTTAGTTTGCAATCTACCACATCTATTGCATTTTGACAATTCATCATTCCAATATTTTTCTTCACATTTTTCACAAAACACATCATCTGAAATTCATTCCCCAGTTACTTTACTATGTACTCTTATTTGATGAACAGATTTGTTATTTCTATTCTCAAGTTTAGAGCAGAAATCACAAGTTTTTTACTTTCTTTTTCTAATTCTAAAACTGTGTATTCCAGTTCTCTCATTGTAACTTACTTGTTATTTAGACTTAACTTCTACTTGAGCAATCATTTCTTGGTTGTGAAGCCTTTCCTTTTTGATTAGCCTTTGTAATTTATGGAACTTAACTTTTGCTTCTGTTTTTAATTGATTAAATATACTCTGTTTAGGTAAGGCAGGTAATGGTTTATTATCTAAGTAGAGTGAATTCCTTAGATTTTCATTTTGTGTTTCACTATCAGTTAATTGCTTACTTAGTTTTTCTAATTTTTTTGCTCTTTTGACTTGATTCTTCCTTTAACTTTTCAACTTGGGCTTCTAGATGAGAAATCTTTGCACTAGAACTTTCAAGTTTCTTGTTTTTCTCTTTATGTCTTCTGCTTGATTTTTGCTTCATTTTTCACCAATTGCTATGACTTCCGTAACTTGTTCCTGTTCTATTTCTATCCTTTCTTCTAATACCTCTATTCTTTCATCTTGTTTTTCTAACTCAGCCCCTAACTCTTTAATCTTTTCTTCATATTCTTGATTTTGTTTAGCCACTTTATCAAAATTTTCCTTAGTTTTAAAAGTTAATTCATTCAAACTATTGACTATTTCATCAAGAGAAAGATTTCTAAGGTCATAATAATTATAACAACTTAGGTTGATTGAATCTCATCCTTCATATTCTTTTTCCAATATTCTTTTAGAGTTGAATTCTTCTATTTTGCCTTCTTTCAACCACTTTTGAAATAGTTCTTTACTTTCTTCAGAATTTAATTTGATAAGGTTAATAAAGATATCTCTTTTAGCCTTATTCCTTACCTGTCAATGAACACTTGATTGCTTATAATAAGGATAATATTGGTAGGTGTTAAGAATTAAATTCCTACAAGCTGGTTGAGTAGGATATAACTTACAAAACTGAGACCACTTTTCTTGGTCACAATAAACTCTCATAATCTCACCAACTATATCTACATCAGGATTGTCAGTGTAATGACTTTCACTTAAAACAGTAATTATTCATGCTCTAATTTCTTCATTATTCAACTGTTTAAATTGCAAGGTGCTTTTAATTGTTCTATTTCTTCTAATAATTGTTTATTTCTCTTTTGGAGTTCATTTATTGTGTTTACCATATTTATTTTTATTTTTTTTTATTGCTCTTTTAATATACTTATATCCTTTTTATGATGATATATTAAGTATATAAATTATTTTAGTACTTTTTACTTTAAAGGTGGAAAAAGCCAACAATATTTGTCAAAAGATTAAACTTATTAAACCTAATGACAGCAAGAGACAAATTAATGAGTGACAAAGTATGGAAGTGATTTTATTCTGAATATTTTATTTGTTGCCAGTATAAAATGGTCTTGGACAAGTAATATCTTTGTATTCATCTTTCACAAATGGACAAATATTTTGGTAAAGATATTCTTGCCTTTTGTAATCCAAAGGAGGTGGTGTTAATACTAAAATTGATAAAGCTTCAATTTCTTCAAAAGTATCTGCTTTCTTGGTTTTCAACAAGTTAAATTTAGTAAAAGGTCCATTAGCAACTTCTTGAACTTTTACTGTACCAAGATTAGATTCTTCAAAAAAGAAAATGTTGATATTTC